AAGATACTAATAATAGTAATATTAATATCTTTATAATATTATAAAAAAAATATAGTTAAAAAAAAGGTTAAAAAGGTAATTTAGTAATAATTAAAAAAAGCTAGCTCTTTTAGTATACTATAAAAAATTAATATAAAAAAGTAAGATTTTACTGGAATTTAACTAACTAAAATTAGTAATACTAAAAATCCTACTTTAAATATACTATTTTTATTATAAAAAAGGCTTAAAAAATAAAAAAAATAAAAAGTATATATATATTACTAATATTACTATATAAACTTATAGACTTATAAATTAGGACCTTTATAGACTTAAGTTATAGTAATTTTTCCTGACTTATAAGTTAGAAGGTTAGGCTTAAATTAAATAAGCTGACTTGAGTTATTAGGAGCGTTGGACATAACGTTTCTTGTTGGCTTTAATTGTCTCGAGAGATTCAGGAGAGGGAGAGAGAGAGGGAGACAATTCGATGAGATTCGCTAATTCATTCTCTTGGCCACATGGAAATCCACCCTCCAAACAAGGATGCCTCTGATCTCTCGTCTCTGCCTTGTCCTCCCTTTCCTGAATCGCTTTAGGCTCACCACATCCCGCGATACCAAGTCTGTGAGAGGTCTTGGCCACGCAACAAAGTTGTGATGAGAGTCGGCTTGGCAATGACTGTTGCATCGATTTCATCGGAGGCTAGTTTAAGTAGAAGCGTAACCGTTAGACTTATCGACCCCGAGGCGTACCTATCCTTGATAAATCAATCGCTTATTCCCCCATAAATTCTATCCATCATTTCATCTTATTTAACTAAGGTACCTACAGTACAGCCTTATTTTCGCAATAGCCTCTGATCTTGGTCTGTTCCAGGAGCTGCTCCCGTCAACCTCAAACTCCCTCGTCTTGGACCTATCATACATAGCCTTTCCTCTCTCGACAGCATCCCCCCTGAAGCCGTTTCTAGCTCCTCATCCCGTCCTGCTTTCGAAACGCCTCGCTCAAAGTTAATCAGTGCTTCCCACCGGCAACATTCCTCTCAAAACGTGCACTCAATCACTTCGAGAGGCTGCCGGATCATCGGCATAGGATTCGCATTTTCTAGTTCTAGTTCTAGTTCTAGACCTATCCTATTTCTGCAGTATCTACAATTTCTCAGCCACATCGACATTAAACGACATAGGTAGTATACATTTTGCCCATGGCCCACATCAGTACTTAAAATCGCCGTGCCTTTTTCTCTTGTTAGCCGCTTTTACTCGACTCTAGCGCATCATGTTTCAAGCACGATGGAAATCACCAGCAGAGCTCGATCATCAACTCCCAAGTCGCCGCGACAGTCAAGATTCTGTCATGGGTAGACTCGGTGGAAAGAATGTTGTCATCTTTTGCTCTACTCGCGTTTGGCGCGGTGCGCCTAAACATACCCTTCAGTTCGCTGCCCTCTTCCTCACCACCTTTCTGATCTTCGGCGTATTACCAAATCGACTATCAGGTGGACAGCTCAGAAGCGGCTCTACTGGATTGTTTTCTTGGGGTAGATATGAGCCAGAACCCGAATCAAATTTGAGGATCGTGGTGTTTGGATCCCCTGATGTCGTGGGTAATGTCAAAGATCCTCGACGCAAAACATGGACAGAAGAACTATGTGATGAGGTTAGTTACTAAGGTTCGATATTGTGATATCGATCTTACTTACTAACAGATCATTAGCTTAACTGTAGTTCTTATCTCTCATTTGTACCAGATGGTCGACCGAACAGGGGCCTCATCAGCAACGAACTCCATCAAAAAGGCGTCAAAGATCTTCTCAACATCACAAAACACACAGACGTGAAGAAGAAGCCAGCCTTCGACTACAACTTCATTTCTAAACAGTACCCAACTCCAGACAAAGTCCCTGACTTGGCCAGCCAAGTGAAGACCTTCCTTGCGATGCCACCACCTGAAATACCCTCGCGCGAAACGCTCTGGATCTTCAGCTTCGGCACTTGGGAAATCTGGAACATGGCTGCAATGCCAAGGACGAAGTCGGAAGATATTATTACAGACATGGCGAGAGTTATCGTTGACCAGGCTGAAATACTCTACGAGCGATCACTAGACCCAACTTCCATCGCGTACTCGGATTTTTGGACGAATGCGACCGAAACGCAGATAAGAGAGCTGACGGCACCCGGCGCTCTAGATAGTGTCGACAAACGTAAGTTCGAGAGCTTTCGCATTATAGCGCCTATGATATTCGATATATCCTTGACACCGGCGTGGCAAGCTCGACAGGCGCCACCAGCACCCAACAGCGTAGTAGAGCATACCCGAAATGCCGCGGAACTGACCAAGTACTGGAACCAAGAGGTAGATTTTGCAGTTGCTGAGTGGAACGAGAGATCGACCAAGAAACCCCAGAAGCCGGCTTCTGAGGACAAGGCATCAAGCAAGAGCAAGAGAACCGAGAGTGTTGAGCCAGTTGAACACAGCGAAGATACAAAGGACCAGGCGAAGAAGACATACGAGGACGAGCGTGTTATCCAAGCTCCATACCCCATGCGTAACGGGCTGGCGATGGACATTGGAAAGGTGCTTCTCGATGCTATGACAGAGGGTGAGATGCAGCACGCCGCGGTGGTGGATCTGCGAGGACGCGGTACGATGGCACCAAATGCGACGATGCGATTCGCCGATGTCTGGACTTCATGTGTCAAGGCTGACATGTCTGATCTCACTATCGATCCGGACAAGGTCACGGCTGACTGTGCCGTTGAGAACGACCATTTATTCTATGACTCGTTGACGATAAGCGAAAGGGCCATGAAGGGCGCAGTTCAAGCGGTTGTGCAAGAGATCAAAGATGAGCTGTTCAGTGCGCAGAAGAAGAAAGGCTGGTTATACGGGGGATGGTAGTTCGAGCAAGCGTGTATGATCAGTTGGGTTTCAGTTTGCATTTGACATTACATTGCATTGCATTGCATTGGTATTGGTTGATACCCGGTGGTTAGAGACATGGAAATGCATATATGATTAAAGACAGGATGGGTGGATGGATGGATGGATGGCGTTTAGGAGTAAACAGAATCGCTTTATTGAAAAGATGGAGAACGAATTAGCTACCGTACAAGTGCCAATACGAATCTGACAACCCTGTGAGCCCCATCAGTGGCTACAAAGTCTGTTCTTGACGTACGGGCCGAACCTGGAGGGACTAACAAGGGGCTCACCCGAGGCCGAGATCGCCGGGTAGATGCTGGATCTAGTCGGGACGGAGACCATAAAACGTGAAGATCGGTAGGGGAGAGATTAAGTTAAAGTTGGTTGATCACCAAAGAGGTGAACTCTAACCTGCAGGATTTAAATGTCCGTCCTTGTCCTGGCTTGGCCTGGCTATGCATTACCTAGACGGCCATCTCGTGATCCAACAGTCTACCTACCATGGTAGGTATCTACAGTCGAGTCCAGTTAAGGATGTGACGTAATACGGCAGTTGACCTAACCCCTGTAACCTCGATCGATCACTACAAGGGTCCTCTCTCGCCTGGCAAATCCAACACCCGAGAGGTCAACTGCAAATATGATGCCAACATGAACATAGGGCACTCTAATTAATGCCCTCCGACTCCTGTTTTTGTCAGAATTATAGCATAGCCCACTGCAAGCCACACTCAAACGGTCCAATCTTGGCTTTGGACAGGTCATTCTTCTAGGCATAGCGCCCACGCGGGTAAATCTCCACCCCCACAAGCCTAGGAGATCGGCGTCGCTAGTATCACGCAGCGACGTCACAAGTCCAAGACCTTAAACAAAGCACGTCGCAGCCTCTATAAACGATTTGACCTTCATATGAGGTCACGTACATTAAAGCCAAGACCCGAGCTGCTGGCAAGTCCTTAACACACGCGCTTTCCTCCTGTGACTGAGACCCTGAACCTTCTATTCTCTTGTTAATCCATGAGACCGCCTTCTCGAGAACAAGATACCTTGAATATAAAACATTGTCTCGCTGCCTATTTTTTGCACTTTCACGCCCTGAAACCTGACCTAGACATCCACGAGACCTTGCGGCTCCTGATACAGCCTCACTGTCCCTAGGACTCATACAGCACGAGACCTCATTTGCCTTCCCAAGGCAACGCATCCTACCTATATTATATATCTTTAGCTCGTTGTCGCATTCCAAGATGGCGGACAAACTAGACTTTGATCCTAGCGCTTTCGCAGCCGATATGCAACTGCGCACTCGAAAGACCCGAAACTTTGACAAGATCGAGCACGATCTGCCCGATCCCAAATCCGCCGCTTTTCAAAAGACACAAGCTGCTGCGCTCTCAGCACCTGTCAATGTCTCAGCGTGGCTCTCCCGCTTTGCGCAATGGAACCCCTTCGGAAAAGCCGTCGATGCTGGCGACATAGTGTGGTTGATGGATAACACAGCGTACCAAAACCCTGAGACCGACCAGTGGGAAGCTGAGTTTGTCGCTGCAGTTTTTGAGAACGAGCCCAAGTGTCGCGTGGCGGATATAGTGTCTGGAATTGCTTCAACGTTGGGGTTGGCGGACGATGCGGCTGAGCGCGATGTTATCGAGAAGAGAATCATTCCGTTCCTCTGGGATATTCAAGCAGCGAGGGTTTTCTGGATCGAGCATAAGAAGAAGGAGATTAAGTTGGGACCGACGAGTATTAATGGTATCACGACGAGCGTTGAGCCTCTCCATCACGCGCATAAGGGGTCGGTAGTTGATGCTACAGCGTTGGTACCTCAAGGCACCCAAGGCCTTCATGACATGCAGACTTACTACGCCGGACCTGAGGGCTGGGCCATCATATCCGGTATGTTCCTTTGATCATTGCCTATCAGCCATACAGACTAACATGGCTCAGATGTCGACGACACCATCAAAGTCACCTTGACCAGCGATCCACTAGGCATCCTCAAGACCACCTTTGTCGACGAGCCAACACCAGTGCCTGGGATGCCAGAGCTCTACTCAGAACTTCAGACTCTTCTCCCCCGCGATACTCCTTGGTTCTACCTCTCAGCATCCCCATACAACCTGTACCCCCTTCTTCGAGAATTCCGAGACCGCTACTTCCCGCAAGGCACATTGATCCTCCGAGATTCGAGTTGGCGCACGATAGCAGGCCTGCTGTCGGCGCTAACAATGGGAACTGAGGAGTACAAGGCAGATCGCATGAAGAAGATTCACTCGTGGTTACCAAAGAGAAAGCTCATTCTGATCGGTGATTCAACACAATCCGATCCCGAGGCATATGGCGAAACGTAAGTAGCCCGCACTAATACAGTACCTCTTTACTGATTCCCTTGTAGCTATCGAACATTCCCAGGCTGGGTCAAGATGATACTCATTCGCAAGGCCACAGACGTCGCTGCTATTGGCATTGAAGAGAAGAACCGGCTGGAGAGATTTGAAAAGGCATTCAAAAATGTACCGGTTGAAGCGTGGCATGTTTTTGAGGAACCGAGTGAGTGTAGGAACATTGTTCGGGATGTTGTGCGCAAGAGGGCGTAAGAGATTGTTATATTATATTCACTATAGGCGATGGGATTATGTGAGAAGGACGTAGAGTGTTGTATAGCTGTACACGATGCGCAATGGATTATCATAGAGGGGCCAAGCTGTTGATCAGAAACAAGGCTGGTGGCATGTTGCACCCAATCACAACAAACGGCGGATCAATGCTGAGCCAACATACAGAAGCTGATATTACATATATGTTGAGGTAGCCACTAATTGATCGGCAAATAACTTGGCTTGCTATTTTAGGCATGTCCTAGTGTTATCAACATCTATTGACGTCGCTGCCCGAGTCCCATCTTCGGGGTTCATTCTTACTTGCAAACGAGCGTAAGTCACACTTCTTGTGCTCACTGCCACTGTTACTAGTGGCCATACTGCTACTAGCTTTGAGGAAGGTAAAAAAATTCTTTACCAGACAAATACTTTCAAGTTTAAAGCAATGGATGAACTTATGGAGTTTCAAAGTTATCAGATTGCTCCTGATCTGAATCATTTACTCACGCACATCAATACCCCAGTATCGATCAAATTCAGCGACCTGGTCTGCTATGGAAGCGAACTTGGAAGGACAGGGAGACCACAAACCCTCAACTTCACAATGATGTGCCATACTCTGTCAGAGATGAAGCAGGAGCTCAACCTGCGCTTTCATGTGTATATGAGCAACGGGGAACCATGGCCCAGACACACTGCTGAGAGCAAGAGACTTGCAGGCCAGGCTACCAAGTTCGGAGTTGAGACTCTTGTTGGCAACGGGCGGGTCACTTGTGTAATTGATGGCTGTGGCATGGATGGCTTCCCGGAACTTGTCAAGAGAATATGGTCGGAAAAGCTAGAAGGGGGGGTTGAAGCTTAGAATGTGTCGTCACAAGCCCTCAGAGCCGCTATAACTCGTCTTCTGAGGGGGGAACAAGATGGCGACTCTTGAACTAATAGTGAAGAGGAATGGCAGTGATGGGCAGCAGTACTTGGAAGGAGACTTTAGTCCCCGTCTACAGACGAATCCCATAGTAGACCCTTGGCCTCAATTATCTCTAACTAGCGCACTCTCGCATCATCCTTTTCATAATTTCCCAATGTACAACGTTGACCAGAGTCGATAGTGCACAACATCTTCATGTGTCTGTGCGAATCATGATTGGCTGTCTTGAATGCACGGGGATATCATCCAATCGGTTCTGATTCCTCATACACATCAACGCCTAAACCGACGACCTTTCGGTTTTCATGTCAACGACCATCGACTGTAATATGTTCTAACCCCCCACATCATATATTACGCACACTCAAAGATCATCATGAGCGATAAGGACCAAGATACCCCTTCTGTTATCACAGGTGGATGTCTCTGTGGTGCTATTCGGTACACTGTCAACTTTGACCAAGAGTACCCATGGCCACCAATTGTGAGTTGTGCTTGTATTATCTCTAATCACTTGAGCTAACTCACTTGCACACAGTCATCAGCATGCCAATGTATGTCTATTTCTACCAAGAGACTCCAAGATAACTAGCAAACACAAAAACAGGTACCATGTGTCGCAAGTGGACATCTTCCCTGGTCGCCCAATTCCTTGTGATATCCCCCAAACAAATCAGTCCAGCACTAAACACTTTCCTGTCCTTCAAAGAGTACATGTCCTCCCCAGGTCGATTCCGAGGCTTCTGTGGTGACTGCGGCACGTCGATCGCATGGCGCTCAGCGGATTACACCCCAATATTTGATCTGTATTTGGGGACGCTGGATGAGAATTACCTGGTCGGAGATGGCGTCGTGGCTAAGACCCTTGCAACTCCAAACGGGACGCAGTACTGGCTGCAGAACGCCGTTCATGGTGTTACTGATGTGCTTGAGGGCGGGAAGAAATACAGTGAAGAAGGTCCCGACGGTATTCGTGACGCAGAAGATTTCAGTAACCTGTGAGGACTACGGAAATCTGGCGATTTATTGCGGCACACAAACGAGATGTGAGGACCCAAAGTCTTTATCATCTTCTTCACCTCTTCCCCAAAGGCGAGGGGTATGATGAAGACAGCAGCACTCAGCTTCGGAAGTGCGAGAAATCGACGGTGTCGGATGCTACGTTGAAGTAGAATGTGTTAAGTTGATAAAAGAGGTATACTCCCTCGTTGAAGCTGTCCAAATCAGTCGATCTATCACCATGGAAATTCATAAGAATACGCTTACGCCACTTTACAGGCTAAGAGTATGTTGGTGTGTATTTTCCCGCCATGTAGACATGACGTTAGACCTTCGAAACCACGGATTCCTCGTTCGTGTGTAATATGAATAGTGAGAGATCCCAGAAGCTCGCGGTAGATAAGCTGCCTAATATCGTATTGAGCTTGGTGGAGAATAGGGACTTCTGGGGAGCCTCCATAAATTGCTGCAGTCGAGGTGATTGCATGATTAAGGTAGGAAGACCTTGGTCTTGGTGGATGAAAAGAAGTTTGGCTATGCTTCCACAAGCTAAATGGCACTTGGGCCAGTGTAATCTTGGGATGTAAGTGGTTGTACCAAGCATCTTTGCTTCATCAGGTACATACCGTTTCAGATGTCTGACTTGACAGTTGACAGTCGAGGTTGGCTCAGAGAGGCTTTCCGGTGTTGATGGTTGTGAGGAAATCCAGAAACAGAAGGATAAGGAGAACATGAAAATGAAAATGCAAAAAAGAGGAAAATGGAAAGACGGAAAACGAAATGAACAATAGGTCATATTTTGAGGTAGCGAAGGAGCGCAGATTGTCCATTAACAAAGAGTTTGTGGCAAAGGATGAAGGAGACATCTCTGTTGAAATCACGCCGTGCACGGCTGAGTTTTGGAAACAAATTCTTCATGATAATCCTAATCGACATGCAAACTGGAACAGCTACCAGCTAATATTGACGTATAAAACTAGGTAAAGCTATCACTGCACTGTCAGTAGTGACCACTCGCGATCCAAAGCGTTGGATTTCGTCCACATAGCTTCGATATTAAGAAGATCCACGTCATTTACTAAGAACCCCAGCTACCTCTGTTGTTCAAACCAATAGTATATACTACACGAGAAGGTAACTCTCAACGCCTCTCAACCCATCCGCCATATTCGCTACTGTTGCGTCAGGATCTAGCACTGAATACATGTCTCGACCCCTGGATAGATCCGCCACTCCCGGCCTTTCAATTCACCTTCTAGTGCATACTTGTCTTTTAGTATGGTATTAGAAGTTCCCTCGCGTGGGAAATACGACGAGGCCGTAATTCTCGTCATCAGACTCTGGGCCTTCTTCCTCAGAATTGCCTTCGGGTTCGTGTTCGAACTGGCAGAAAGTCTTTTGCCAAGGATACCATTCACGTTCTTTCTCCCTTTCCACAAACATCCCCAATATCCCCGGCAGCCAAAGTTCAAGCATCGACACCGAGCTTTCGTCCAGAGCATACAGAAACTCTTTCACCCTGTCCAACATCTTGTCCGCGACATCAAAGTCAAAATAGCCATCATTATCGTTGAATATGAGGTGCTGTATGTCGACTCGGACCTCCAAGTCTTTTTTGAGTGAGGTGAGGGGCATCAGAGCTGTAAGTCGGTAGAAGTCAACATAATAGCTGTCGTAATGGTTGTGCCGGAGGTATAATTTGAGACACTTGATATACTTTTGCTTGGTGGTAACCCAAGAGCTGAACATGGTATAATCTTGCAGATCATCGAACATGAAGTGGTTGGTACCATAGAGCACATGGAGGCCGCTTTGAAAGCTACAGCGTGTCAGTCTTGGTTCGGAGATGCTATTGTTTGGTTTGCTCACGCCCACTTGCAGGTGAACATAACGTTCGCAGAAAGGTAACACCATTTGTGGTCTTTTTCTGAATGTCGATGCACAAGAGCTCCCCTGCCTTTTCTGCAGACGCAGTGACACCATCCCGGGACCTTTGAAGGATTAGGGCGACCCTCGCGTTTGAACTGATCCTTGCTTTGATGAAACTTGATATGCACGACTGACTCTCCAAAGAGGTAGATGAAAATTTGGCGCCTGAGTTCCGGGGGCAGCTTCCCAAAGAGCGAGGAGTTTTCCTGGGAATTACCCTTTTCAAATTCGGGACCCATAGTGATGAGGTTCGTGGGGTTTTTGCGGTGTTGACGGTGATGCGAGAAAGAAGAGATGGAGGAGAGAGATGGAGAGGCGTGAGGAAGAGAGTGACGGGAAGAACTTATAAACATTTGCGGCTCATCCACCAAACAGGCGGGTCCGCCAGTGTTTGCCAGTGCTTGAACATGCCGAGTTAACGTATCTATCATTTATGCCTATAGGATGCCTTGCTTCCTTCATTCAAATTCACTGGAAATCAGTTGCTCACATTGCTACATCACGCTTACTTACCTACCCTTCGATTAGATGCTAGTGAATTCAGTCACATTATTCCCTAAGAACTTCTGTCAGACCATCACTTTGAGCCAGCCTCGCTGTCAGTCGTTTAAGGGGCAACTTTCATGCTGCATCTGGGTTTTCAAAACCACTACTTCAGCTCTAAACATACCAACCACATCAAATGGCATGCGCGGGAGCATAACCCTAACATTTATTTGTAAATATAACTTTTTCTTCATCTCTGTGGTTCTCTATAATGCAGCTCGCAAATTATTCATTCGAACCTGAGGCTGTCCTCTTCTCCTAAGAACAATACGGACCATACTTAAGACCAATCCTCACCTGTAAGTCAATCCGGCATTATTTACTGATCAGTACTAATGGTTTTAATAGCTGCACGCCGCCTCGTCTAAGTGGTCATCCAGCTCAGATTCTACACACTATGGCAGTCCCATCGGAAGAGATCGTGCCCATTCACGAAGCTCGGCTGGAAGCTTCAATGGCATATATTTCGAGCTTTTTACTCATTCCAGAGTCTGCATTAATCTATCCAACTCCAAGTAATCAAAAACTTATTTCTATTATCTTAAACTGACTAGTTGCTGACGCTACCGCAAATGCAATAGGAGTTCACCTTCTCGAGTGCCCGATGAGTATCGTCTACTGTCAAGGTCCCGGCAATGCCTGGAGGGAATGAATCTTATCTTGACATATCAAAAAGTGTGAGATCCCCCCTGTTGTTGTACTACCTACCAGGAAAGTATTAACATAGTTTCCGTCTAGGTAGAACGAGACTCTCGCAATCCTCTTCTGCAGTACTCTGGTTTTCCACGATCTAAAGCAATGTCATCTTTACGTACATCACCATCCCTTCAGAGAAAATTGTTAAAGAGACCATATAATTCGAGAATCTATTACTCTTTCTTCAAGCTAAGCAAGCCAAGGGGCATTTCTCAGCTTAAATAGCGACATCATATCTTTCCTGGACCTCTTTGTAACGACCTATTTACACCCTTGCGTGGAAAACTCTCCATCTCAATGGTATCCAGGAAAATACACCGACACTGAGTACGATTCACACCTGTGACCAAAGAGAGCTTCTTGGACTCACTCCAGCGGTTTATATTCCGGTCTACGATACGAGGTCTTGTCGTCTTGCCGGGAAAATTGAGGAAGCCAGTACACGATATGTCCGCGATGTGCTTTCAGGATGATACCAAACATGGCCTGAATCCACGACTGGCTGGTCCCAATAGTTGGAATGGAGGGCTTAGATATCCATGGATGGTAGGATGTTTACTGGCCTTCAGTGTAAGTCGAGATGACTTCAGTGACAGCGGCATTTGTAGTTGATTACAGGGGGGTGCTGCGGGGAAGTTGAGGATATGATTGGTAGAAACTCGTTATCTTATCGGACTAGAGGGGTACCAGCACACAGACAGAGATTTCTGTGAATTTGTCCAATTCTGATGAAGTGTAAGGGAGTGAGAGCAACAATACGGTTATTCTGTTGTCAATTGCCTGTCAACCATTCTTTTATTCTTTTCATCGTTTATAGCACAAATCAAAATACTAGCCTGACTATCAATGTCAAAGAGGTCCAGCAATGCATTCACGGCACATGGACAGTGTCATCACATACAAAAGCTTTTAAAAGATGAAAAGTCGAGGTTCGAGCTCAAAGTTTCCACCATGAGAGGAAACCTCCTCCTTCGATTTCACGTGCCAGCGGAATTACCCCAAGAGGACAAGGAGCGGGAACTTGATGTGAGGCACGAAATAAGCTAACCCAACAGATCCAATGGGAGCTCTCAAAGCGACACGATGCATGGAATAGAACAAGCACAGACCACTCATTCCACGCCCGATGCCGGATCCCGGTGTAAGCGCTCTCGAGAAGACAGTGAAAGTGAGGTTAATAAAGGCGAAGAAGGAGGATCAAGATTGGCAATGGATGGAAGATCGGGCCTTTTGGCTTTGGACGTATTACGCGAGGTCAATTTCACCTAAAGAGTCGAGTCTGTCTGTCTGTCTACTAATCCAGAATTAGTAGTCTTGTCTGCAGAGAAGAGCATCGGGATTAGATGCCATTCTCATATGTCGTGAACAATAATTCAGACCTATGCAAACAAGAACTTCAAACTAGCAATCATTATATAATAACTTCCTTCAAATTGAAGAATCTGTCGGACTCTCCTACCAAATCCACCACGTTCAATGTTATTAGCGATGCTTCCCCAGCGAGATGCGACTCGGACAGTGGAGGTTGGGTACGTATCTTTTTTTTTTTAACTCATGAAAACCACATGTAATCTGAATCTGTCATAGCCTGTTCTGGACACGCGATTGGTCAAAACACCATCTTGATTCAGAGATATCAACTTTTTTATTTTTCAACAGCATCAATCACATCAACTGCAAAGACCAAAGACCAAAGACCGCGGGGGGAATAATGCCACATCTTACGATTTGGACATCAGGTAATTAAAATGAGTGTTTAGTCCACTTGTCCTCGTTCTGTCATAGTCTTGAGTCGTGAGTAGTAAACAAATGAGTACTCCGTATGTACTATGTAACTCCAAATGCCATTATCAATCAAGATGATTTCCAATGCTCGCTGAATCCTTCGCTATTCGGCATTACCACTACCCCCGTATTACCTACCTACCTCTCTCCTCTGGCCGGCCCTCCTCTCCAATTTGTAACGCTGGTCTTTTCACGCTTGTATGTCGGCGTCTTAGGCCCTACATTAGCTCTGCCTGGACCATGTGTCTCCGCTCCTCTCCGCTCCGCATAGAGCGGCAGCTAAACTCACCCAGCGCAACAACGTTTCGCGTTCGGAGTCCGGACCAGGGGGAAGCACCTCAATTACGTAGGTAGGGTCCAGCAATGACATGGACGTGGCCTTAGCTTTTATTTCCCTTGGGGCCTTTGGTAGGTGAGATCGCGTCAATGGCCAGCCTCGGATGGCACGGACACGGCACGGAGCTCTTCGCTTGCGCTGTACAGACCAGCATAGCCATGTGCTGTAGCCGGTAGCAGATGTACATATGTACGAGAGAGCGAGTGTAGCAGAGGACAGGACCCTCCAGCCTCGTCTTGACTTGAGAAACGATCGTCACTCGCAGACGCGCCCATTTGTCCGCTTTCTAAGGTTAGGTAGTCTCTAGTCTACCCACCTCCTCCACCAACCACACCTTCAAGACTCTCCCCCGGACGCCGTGCCCCAGACGAGCATTCTCTCCCAAAGAGGCAATGTGTGTTCCCCTGCGCAAACGAACCTCTTGAGTTTCTATTGCCAACCCCGGAGGAACGGCGAAGGGGGTGTATGGATGGTAAGCCTGGGGCGGAAAGGGGGAGAGCTTCTCCAACCAAGTGCCATGATGTCCAAGACGGCAAATGGTAGATGATCAAGGTGTGTGCATCGGGATGTAAACTCGCAGTCAAGATGGTAGCCATGTTCGGAGTTTGGGGTAGTGGTGAATAGCATCAAGTTGGGCATTATTATTTAGCTACTCCAACTTTCGGTTCGGTTCGAGGATGCCGGTGACTTTGCTTATGGTGCCTGGAGTTATCGGTTCGGGGATTTGTCTTGGCTCTACTCCGTAGTGTCTACTATTCACCTTTGACCTCAAGGTGAAGACGGCTGCTTAACCCCGTTGATTCAAGGTGATAGACCACGCCATTCCGCCCAACTCCGGTCGTTAACCCCAGACATCTATTGCCTGGAGACGGTATATCCGCCGACGGCATCAATGACCGACCTGTTTCGACTCATGCAAGATGGGTTTTGTGGAGGGACGATCATCATCCTCTCTCAGCTTATGATCAACCTCCTTGAGGCCGTCCATCGGAGACTGTCACAAGTAAATCTAGTCTCTCATGGCAAATGCAAACGCAAGTGAATGCACATGCGAGGTAGCGGAGTCTTTGGCCCTGTTGTTGCTGTAGCTGTAGCATCCCATGCCCCCCCCCATGTCGATATCCCACGTCTTTGGGCAACTCTATCGTTAGATGTCTCTGCTGTGCCACTGGGAAAAGTGAAAGTCAACAAACTCATCCCACTCTTTTACTTTGTTCGGGCAGAATTGCTTCTGATTTCTGGGTGTGGGTAACGTGTTGTTCTGTGGACATGCAGCTCAATGCCACCAATTGTGGCCTGTTTTTTTTTTTTACTCTCTTTCTGGCTTGGTCGTGTCGAGGTTTTTTTCCTGGTGGATGTGGGCTCCCAACTTTTTAGCTCGCTTGGGCCCAGTTCGCGCCATTTCGACGGGACTGCCACTAACAGAAGCCACTAGCAGTTCCCTGTAAGTGACCTGAGTATCTGTGCGTTGCGTGCGTGGGTTACCATACCACACGCTTCGGCGCGGTACAACCTGGACCTGGACTGACTGGGCTGGGCTGGACTGGACTGGGCTTGGCTGAGAGTTACCTTGGCCTGAGCTAGCTAACTTCCATTCACTCCATCCCATCCAACCCAAAAAATTCCTCAAATACATAATCGCGCCCTCTCCCACGCTCGTCTCTTACTTTAACCCTTCCCTCCTCTTCCTTCTCCTCAATCCAATTGCATTTCTTCTTTCTCATATCTCATCTTAGCAAGCCGCCCGCTCTTCCACTCCTCGACCTCATCAACGTCTACCGAACTATCCCGACCAACCACCTAAACAACCGTCACAATGTTCTCTGCTACTCGTGCCCTCCGACAGGCTGCTGTCCACGCCGAGCGTACTCCTCT